GGTGATTGTCTGGCCGCTGGTTGTCGCCTGGCTGCTTGTCCCATGGGTGACTGTCACCTGTCGGGTTGCCTGCTGGCTGGGGACCAGCAGGGGGTGCCCGTAGCAGAGCAGCAGGAAGAGGAGGTTGGGAAGTCCTGCAGTAGCCCAACCTTGGCCCATAGCCGCAGGAGAGCAGAGCCCTGCAGCCACCGTTCCCTGGCCAATAAGAGCGGAGCCCGCAGTGTGACCTCATAGAGCCCTGTATCTGGCTTCCTCTGGAGGGGGAGGGGCCCTCAGGTCTGAGCACACCCTCTCTAGGATGCTGGGGGAAAGACATGCCTGTCCCCACTTGCAGGCAGTGCTGATGAGCTTGGGGGGCTGCCTGGCCCTCCAGGACAGGGTACCAGGGCTCAGCTGGTAGGAGCTGACCAGGAACCTGGGGCCTGGGCCAAGCCCAGAGTTGAGGACCCACCTTAGCCCCCCACCACCCTCACTCAGGGCTTTACCGATGCCCTCCGGGTAGTTGTCAGGCAACGGTGGGCGCCACTGGTACTCAGGCCAGCCCAGGACCTCGCCGTTCTGCCGGTTCTGCTCCTGCAGCCACTGGGTGACTGGCTGGAAGTAGTTGAGCAGTGGCTGGGCGTCCAGGGTGTCTGAGCCGACCATGTCCTTCAGCACCTCCTGCCAGGGCCTGGAGGAGCCAGCCTGCAGCACCTTCCTGGTGGGCAGAGTGGGTACCATGGGCACAGGGGACTCAGGCTGGAGTCTGCTCCTGGACTCCAGCCCACACGCCCCTGGCCACTTCCGCCCCCGCAATGGACTGCAGAAACTGCAGCAGTAAGATCCTGGGGCCTGGGATCTCTGTGATGGTGGCAGGGGGCATTTGTCTCGCCCCATGCCAGCCAGAAGGCCCACTCAATAAATACTTGATGAGAGAGCGAGGAGACAGGCATCCACATCAGTCCAGCTCTGTGATTGGCACCCCCCACTCTGTCGGAGCAGCCAGTCGCCCCCGCCATACCCTTTGCCAGCCACTCCCCTCTGCCTCCCACTTCCCCCCGCTTCCTGCCACACACCGGAGCTTGGCCCCTGCCTTGGTGGACTGGTAGATGTCACATTGGTGCAGTGGGCCCTCATAGCCTGCCTCCTTGCACAGGGCTTCATGGAACTGGAACTGTAGGACGAAACTCACAAAGTACCTGCAGGCACAGGGTGAGAGTTAGGGGAAGATCGTGGGGGACCAGGAACAGGAGTCCCTTGCCCAGGCACCATCCAGCTTTGCAGGGCAGAGGCTGGACCAGAAGCTATCTTAGGGGAGAAGGGAGACCCAAGACAGGCTCAGAAGAGAGGGCCACTCTAACTCCAGGCCTTTGAGGTCTGGAGGAGCATGGGGACAAGCCCTGGGGATGTGGCAGCTAGAATCACAAGAGGAGGAGAAGGGGACTGAGGGTGTGACAGTACTGAGGGGTGGGGTAGGGGTGCTAGTACCTGATGTATGGTGTCACATTTGGAACATGAAACTTAGCTCCAGCATCAAAGTGGGTTTCGTTTCGGGTAACAGGAGGACAGATCCCCTGATACTTGGTTCTGGAAAAGGATGGTCAAATTGTCTTAGGGCCTAGAGGTTGCATACAGATGGATTTAGCTTTTGCACAAAAGGCTTTTCCACCCAACAGCCCTCCCTATCCTGAGGAACTGGGGAAGACTCCCTGGAAGAGGGAGTTTCAGGCAGGAAAGGAGAAGGCGGTAGGTCACAGAGGGGGACATCATTAGTGAGGAGAGGCTAGAACTGGCTGGGGCAGGAGGTGCCTGGCTGTCCAGGAGGCTGGGGAGGGCTAGTTGGGGAGAAGGCTTTTCTATCCCTCCTCTCACCGAAGATACCACCAGTCGAAGTTGTAGTGGGAAGGAGGAGTACGCCCATTAAAGACCCCCCAGCGCCACTGGTCCACCAAGTAGCCAAAGGGCAGGAAGGCAATTTTTTCCAGTGCCATCTTTAGCAAGTAATTGATGTCACTTTCTGTTGGGAGATGAGAGGAGACGGGAGAGGTCAGAGGTCGGAGGGAGAAGAGGGTCCCCTAAGAGTGGTGGGTTGGTGGAGGCAGCAGGAAGTGAGGCTGGGGAGACGCAGAGAAGGTAAGGCTGGTCCTCGAGACCCTGGGCCCTGCTTGGAAGAGGACCCCCGGGTGTTGTTGAGGTGGGCTCAGTGTGCACTGTGAGGCTCTGGGTGGATCCCAAACCCTGCCTAACCTGGGGCCGGGAGGGAGAAAGAAGGGCAGAGCTGAGTGGGGCAAGTGAGGTCCTGCTGTGGGATGGAGTGGGGTTTAGGTGAGGCTGGGGGGCCTCTCAGCCCTCCCATACCCGTGTCATTGGTGACACGGTCCAGCAGGCCGATTTTGTGCAGATGTGCAGGAGTAGAGACCGAGAGTGCCAGCACGTCCCCAATGGCCTCATGGAAGCCGGGGTTGGCCCCCCCGCGCAGGGAGACGGGCAGGTCCTTGTACTGCAGGTAGTACTGTATATGGCCCATCTCATGGTGCACTGTAGAGAGCTGGTCCATCGTGACCCGTGTGCATTGCTTGATCCTGGGGTGTAGAGAGGGTGAGGGTAAGGGTGAAGGATGGGCAGGACAGGGCAGGGCCAGGGCACAGGGCAGATTGGCACCTGAGAGACAGGAATGAGGAGGGTGCTGCCCTGGGGCATGAAACCACAGTAGAAACAAGCAAATTCTTTTTTCTTTTTTTTTGAGATGGAGTCTCACTCTGTTGCCCAGGTTGGAATGCAGTGGCACAATCTCAGCTCACTGCAACCTCCACCTGCCAGGTTCAAGAGATTCTCCTGCCTCAGCCTCCTGAGTAGCTGGGATTATGGGTGCCCGCCATGATCCCCAGCTAATTTGTTTTTGTATTTTTAGTAGAGAAGGGGTTTTGCCATGTTGGCCAGGCAGGTCTCAAACTCCTGTCCTCAGGTGACCTACCCACCTTGACCTCCCAAAGTGCTGGGATTACAGATGTGAGCCACCACGCCTGGCCGAAACAAGCAAATTATTTACCCCGCCCTGGCTCACCACCATTTGGGCCTTCTTCCTTCGTTCCAAGGTACAGAGATGACTATTTGTCAAAGCTGCCAGGGAAGGTGGACTAACAGGCCTCCTATGTCCCCTCACCCTGGAATAGATCCAGCCCCTGGCCAGAGCTAGGGCAGGGTAGAGGCAGGCCTGGGAACCAGCTTCCGTGCACCTGGGCTGCCTGCCTTTCCCCGAACCCCAGAACCCTGCTCTTCCCATGTCTAGACCTGAAGTCTTTCCTGTTGTAGAAGTCCCAAGCCGAGGCGTGGCACACCACCTCCCGCCCGTCGGCCGGCTTCTCCAGCATCGACCCTTCCCAGAACTCGGGAGGCATGGGGGAGAGCTCCAGGGAGGTGAAGAACTCCTCTGCCACCCGGAACATGTGCGTGGCATTCCAGCCCTGGAGGCGGGGTGTGGAGACAGGTCAGGGGAGCCCACTCTGGCTGGCCTGGGGACAGGGCTGGGGTCCCCCTCTCGGGTCAACTCCCTGTGCATGAAAGCTTCTCTGCTCTGTGGCCACCATTCCCAGAGGCAGGGCCCTTGCTGCCCACCGCAGATGAGTGAAAGTGCATTGCTGCTCTCATCTGGCCACTGTGGAGCCTGGAGGGAGGAGCTGGCACCTCACTGAGGGGGCCGACCCCAGCTCACTGCACCTACAGACACACCAAGCTGCTGCTTGGTACTCGACCCCTTCCCACCTCTCTGCCCATCTCTGACTCCCTCTTTTTGCACCCCACCCCCGCCACCCCAGGCTTGAGCCCAGAGCTTACCTGCTGCAGCATAGTACTGGTGACGTCGAGGTTGGGCTTGTCTGGGAAAGGCACCACCATGTCGTAGATGTTTTCCCAGCTCTGGGCCCACATGTCTCCTAGATGAGAAAAGAAGGGGACAGCTTGGCTCCCTGCCTGGCTGTGCCTGCTTCTCCATGAGTCGCTGAGCGACCCTGGGGCCAACACCTACACCCTGGGGCCCTCAAGGGCTGCAGGCCTGGCTTAGGGCCAGAAATCTCACACATCAGTCCCATCCTCACTCCTCCGAAGGCCACATGTCCTGGGACTGCAAGATGCTGTCACTGTCCTTTCTGGCTGTGCCAGGTCCCAGCCACTCAATCCTAAGGCAGGCCCACAGCGCTTGTTTCCTTGGGCATAAGCTAGGCTGATGGCTCCTCCACTGGACCCAGGGCCAGAGCCTTTGGTTTGACCCCTAGCTCTCTGACCACTAAGTCCCTTACGACCCTGAGCCTCAGGGTCCCCACCTGTAAAGTGGGAACACGAATGGTCTCCTGCACGTGAAGCAAACAGTATGATGCCCCACACATGTGAGAGGTGATGGTCACAACCTGCCTTCCCTTACCCTGGACATCCCCCACCCCTATGCCTGGACCCACACTTCCCTGGGACTCATACGGAGGCAAGGCCAGGTCCTTACCCAGCAGATGAGCAGGGATGGGTCCCCTGAGGTTGATGTATCTGTCCCCATATCGGCGATGCAGTGCACGGCGGACGAAGGCATGGAGGTTCAGGTAGAGGGGCTCTAGCTGTTGGTAGAGGTGCTCCAGATCGTCCTCAAAAGTGGGGGAGTTGTACCAGGAGCGCCAGTAGGCCCCCGTGTCTGTGAAGCCTGGGGGCGTGGGGGTGGGGTATGCAGCTCAGGCCAAAGGCTCAGACCTCAGCCTCTCAGCTGTAAGTCGGCTCTTCCACTGGCTCGAGGCCTGTGGATCTGCAGCTAGCTGGAAAATTGGCTTGAGGGTTGCCACTCTACAATTTCTAATTAGCTACAGCCAGCTAAATAGATCCTGGAGGTTCCCAGAGGAAAAGAGGAGCACCAGGGCCAGAAGCAACAGCAGGACAGCCATGTGGGGCAGGCCAGCAGCACAGTCCAGGCACACTGGGTGCAGGCTGGTCCCACCTCCACTTTCTGGGAAACTCAGGGCCTGCTGGAATCGTCGTACCAGCTGCTCTGCCTGGCTCTGGGCTGGGACTCTGGGGAGACAGCCAAGAGAGGGCATCTGGCGCAGTTCCTGGACGGGGAGAGGGCTGCTCACCGTCCTGCTTGTAGGCTTCATTGCTGAGGGCAGTGAAGTCCTCGTACAGCGGTTTCAGCGGGATGCCCGCGGCGTTGTGCCAGCCCTCCCAGGCAAACAGGAGCATGGCGTAGGTTCGTGAGGAAGCCAGGATGTTGGTGAGGTCTGAGACACAGGCAGGCAGGGTCGGTGAGGAGGCCTCCATGTTGAAGTCTGCAACGGCCTTCACCAGAGCCTGCACCAGTCCTCACTGCTCCCACCAGCTTCCTGAACATCACGGTGCCCCCAGAGCCAGGCGCCACCTACAGGCCTGATGGGAGGTGGCCAGGAGCTACAGAAACACCCAGGCAGGGCCTCCGCCCCCAGAGACATGACCACCTAAGGTGGTCGACACCAAGGGGACACCCAAAGGCCAAAACCCAGGCAGACACTTGGCGGCCTATTGGAGGAGTGCCTTCCTCCAAGCTGCTCGTAAAGGGGGCTGGAGCGGGGTTTAAGGGGAAGCCAAGAGGGGTCCTTGGCCTGAGGGCTCTTGGGGAACGTGAGAGGACCCACGAAAGGGGAAACCAGGCAGCCAGGAGGAAAGTCTAGGAGTGATGGGAGAGGCCGAGGCACACACAGAAGTGGGGGCTGCAGCTGGAGGTTCCGGAAGTCCACTTGCCAAGAGAAGCAGGGTGTGGGGGCATCTGCACCCTCCATCCCCAGTTGAAGGGCAACGCCTTTGGGTTTACCTGCTGTCTCCACAGACCCTACACAACTGCACGATCCCGAGTGCAGCAGGGCAATGTGGGAGCACTAGGGCACCTCCGAGAGGGGAGACGCAGGGGCCGTACCTGGGTCCAGGGACCAGCAGGTGGCAGTCTTGTTGGGGAGGCAGACCTTGGCGGTGGAGTAGATCCTGCTCATGTTGCTTAGCAGAGCATTGTACTGGGGAGTCAGAGGGGAGGAATGTTCTGGTGACCAACCCCTGGGACATCTGCCCTCCCCTTGCTGCTAGAAGAAGGAGCCCACAGAGTGGATGTAGCTTGGACAAGGCCACTCAGTGGCACCGGGGCACTTCTGATCACTAACACACGAGTCCTCTGCCAGTGGAGGCAGCCTGTGGAGTCGGGGACAGGAGTCCTGAAAGTCAGGGTCAGGGTCAAGTCCCAGCTTGGTACCGCCCTGCAGTGAGGGCAGATTCCTCCCATTCTCTGGCTTTGGTGACTTCTCAGTCTTTCTTAACCTTTTCTCTCTCTCTCTTTTTTGGGATGGAGGTCTCACACTGTCACTCAGGCTGGGGTGCAGTAGTGCAATCACAGCTCACTGTAGCCTTGACCTCCTGGGTTCAGGTGATCCTTCCACCTCAGCCTCAATAGTAGATGGGACTGTAGGTGCACACACCACCAAGCCCAGCTACTTTTTTGTATTATTATTATTATTTTTTTTTGTAGAGATGAGGTTTTGCCATGTTGGCCAGGCTGGTCTTGAACTACTGGGCTCAAGCGATGCACCCACTTCAGCCTCCCAAAGCGCTGGGATTACAGGCGTGAGACACTGCGCCCAGCCCTTCTCAACCCTTCCAAGGAAGCTCATAAACCAGCCTAGGTAGAGGCGTATTTGATTTTGGCTTCCTACTCCAGAATGCTTCCTTTAACAGAAAGTAACACCCCACCCCATCTCCAAGAAAAATCAATGCTTCAGAAAGCCATTCTGTGCATACCTGGGCTTTCCCTTCTGCCAGGGCCCATGTGGATCCCAGGGTCCTTCCTTCCCTGACGGGCTGCTCTCCCCCAACCCCCACGATGGGGCACTGGGAGGCCGCCCCCAAGCTCTCCCTCGGCCCTCAGCCCACCTGCTGCCGCTTAGCCAGGGGCAGGTTGGCAGAGCCCAGGGTGCCCACAGCTCCGATGATCTTGCGCAGCTCCGGGTCCGTGAAGTTCTGCCAGATCGGTTCATACAGCTCCTTGGCCTTCTGGCCCCAGGCCTCGGCAAACTCCTGGCTGAGCAGGGCTGCTTCCTCCTATGGGCACCAGGAGGGCAGGCAGGGTGTAGGCAGGACCCCGCTTAGATGCACGCCATAGAGGGGAAGCCACGGTGCTGGGGGAGGGGAGGAAGGCCAAGGGCTTCCAGAGCCCGAGCCCTGGGGAGATCCCTGCGGGAGACCTTAGTTTGCGGAAGCCGCGCTTCCTCCTTCTGGAAGGAATCTGCCTCATGGGAAAGGTGGAGCAGAAATTGGGACCACAAAAGAGGCCAGGCGAGTGGAGAGTGAATGGACAGTGCAGTGCGGTGACAGTGACAGCGTCTGGAGGTGAGCAGGCAGCGGCCCGAGAGCGCGGGGGCCACAGAGCGGAGTCCAGCACACTCGGCAAAGGCGGGC